GGCATTACTCATTTGTTCTTTTCTTCACTCGCGGCCGAGCTTATACTGAGGGTCCAATCGAGGTCGAGTCCTACTATTCAATCTAAGATCAGACTTGGTTATCACATTGCGAGTGATTTGATCGTTTATTTCTCCTTTAATTCATTTATCTGTTGTTCTTAATTATGCATATTAAATTAAACCACGTACCCTTTAAATCGCATACAAATTTAATTGTTACTTATTTTTTGGGTAAACAGTTTTGTGCCCACTGTGGGATTAAGGATAATAGTGGTGATTTAATATGAATTTACATAACACACCCTATTTTATGCTTATTCTTTAAAATCTTAATTCCAAGTTAGCCTAAGAATGTCAAACTCTCAGTCCGTTGTCACGACCCAAAATTCATTAAAGGTCGTGATGTCGCCGGGCACCGTTGTCAGGCAAGCCAAAAATATATATTTAATTTGGTTCTCATTTTAATATTTTTGAAATCATATTTCCTTCAATTAAATAATAAAAGATGGAATTTACAGAGTAAATAATAATATTTTTAACAATTTCAATATAGGACAACCCATAATCACCCCAAAACCCGATGTCACAAGTGCATGAACCTCAACTAGGAATGTAAAATAAAATACAACATCTGTCCGGAATATAAACTTGGACAGGAGAAATATAAATACTCTGAAGGAGACTCTGTTGGATGCGGATCGTAGTATAGAATGCAGCTCACCTAAATCCCCGCAATAACTGCGCCTCTACGCCCACAAGGTCACTAGACATATATGTACCTAGTTAAAAATGTGCAGCAAGTGTAGTATGAGTACGTAAATTAACGCGTACCCAATAAGTATCCCACCTAACCTCGAAGAAGTAGTGACGAGGGGTCGACTCCAACACTTACTAAGGGCTAATAATAAAATACCGATATTATATTAAGCGTGGATTGTATAGAACGGCCGTAAACTCAATAGCATGAAGTAAGTAAACAATTCTTTTGTTAATAGGAACTTTCCAAATTTATTTTCGTCATTTAACATTTTTGTATCTCGGGTCAATGAAAGCAATATCATTTATTATTAATTTCAGAGATATATCATGCACAAATTATGCCGAGGTCGTACGGCCCGATCCAACATAAATATTTAAATTGTGCACTGTCGAGGGTCGAACGGCGTGAACCATAGATGCATCTATCTGCTACCGAGGCGTTCGGCCCGCTCCACAAAAGAGAAAACACATTAAACAACCAATTCAAGATTTATTAAGAGGAAAATATTCCAAGAATTTCAAATTCTCATTTTACGGTCAAGTAAATGAAGTTTAACCTTTTTACAATTCCTTTATCGAGTTTTTAAATATTTTAAACAATTAAATTAATAAGTAGGGCACAAACATCGCAAGTACAATATGATATGGGTCCTAGACTACCCGGACATAAGTATAATAGTAGCTACGCACGGACTCTCGTCACCTCGTGCGTACGTAGCATCCACAAATAGAAACACATAATGATTTGATTCACCTATGAGGTTAATTCCCTCTTACAAGGTTAGAAAAGAGACTTACCTAGTTCCGAAATTCCATAACCAGCTCCAAACCCTTTCTAACAACTGAAACCAATATCCATCGCTCCAAAACTAGTCAATAAAGGTGCAAATTCATAAATATATACTCTAATACTCATTATAATTTAATTTTTCAATAATTTCCAACCCCGCTCAAAAAATTAATTAAAATCACCCTCGGGCCCACATACCCGAATTCCGAAATTTTTCAAAGATAAGCATTACCCATGGTATCACGAACTCAATATATAATTTACTCTCAATTCCATGCCCAAATTCGTGGTCAAAATCTAAAAATATAAATTTTTAAGTTTTTCTTCAAAATCCTAAATTTCCACAAATTTTCAAGTCTAAATCCATATATAATCCAAATATTTAACTTGCAATAAGTGGAATTCACTTACCTTGACATAGATGACGAAAATCTCCCTTCCAAGAGCTCCAAAAATTGCCCAACCAAATGAAAAATGGAGGAAAATGGCCAAATCCCGTCTTGTAAAAACCTCACTGCCCAGGCGACCCTTCTATCCGAATGCGACACATCCCTCCCGTTCGCGAGACTCATCAACCTCACGCCCAGAATCTCTCTTCGCGTTCGCGACATTCTGATCGCGTTCGCAAAGGCCAGTTTCCCAGACCCCTCGCGTTCGCATAGGACAAATGGCCTTAGGCCCATCTCCCCCTTTCTTCTACGCGTTCGCGTCGCCTTAGCCGTGTTCGCGAAGGCTTGCCCAGCTCTTGCCTCGCATTTGCGTCCACTTGCTCGCGTTCGCGAAGGCCTACCCAGCAGCCTCACAATTTCCTCTACGCGAACGTGGGACTTCCTTCGCGTTCGCGAAGAAGGACACCAGCAACAACAGTCCAAAACAGCCCGAAATGATCCGCAACCATCCCGAAACACATCCGAGGCCCCCGGGACCCCGTCCAAATCACATAAATCAGTCCCATAACATAACACGGACCTGCTCGTGGTCTCAAATCATATCAAACAATATCAAAATCATGAATCGCACCCTAATTCAAACTTAATAAACTTTAGAACTTCAAACTTCTATATTCAATGCCGAAACCCATCAAATCACGTCCGATTGACCTCAAATTTTGCACACAAGTAACATTCGACATTATGGAACTACTCTAACTCCCGAAATTAGATTCCAACCCCGATATTAAAAAGTTCACTCCCGGTCAAACTTCTCATAAACCTTCAGATTTCTAACTTCCGCCAAATGATCCCAAATTGACCTACGGACATCCGAATCCACTTCCGGATGCGCTTCCAATACCAGAATCACCATATGGAGCTATTCCCAGACTCGGAATCCCAAATGGACATCGATAACATTGAAATACACTTCAACCCAAATTTATGAAATTCTTCCAAAATGCCAACTTTCCACAATTGGCGCCGAAACGCTCCTGGGTCATCCAAAACCCGATCTGGATATACGCCCAAATCCAAAATCATCATAAAAACCTGTTGGAACCTTCAAATCACGATTTCGAGGTCGTTTACTCAAAAATCATACCTTAGTAAATTCTTCCAACTTAAAGCTTCCGAAATGAGAGTTTTCTTTCCAAATCAACTCTGAACTTCTCGAAATTCAATTCCAACCATGCGCATAAGTCATAATACCTGAAGTGAAACTACTCAAGGCCTCAAACCGCCGAACGACGTGCTAGAGCTCAAAACGACCGGTCGGATCGTTACATCAGCTCACTTTAACGTTGATGTAGAGTCAGACCATCACGGCGAAAATAATAATGTGGTGTCCAATAATGATGTGCCTCCTGCCGATCCCAATGGTGTCCCAGCCACCGACCCGGTCTACGCAAACTCCCAGGTGGCCATCAACATCAATTTTCCAACTAATCCCGAGAACAGTGTTCGAGGGGGACCTCGACCAACGGGTCGAGCAGTGCCCGAAGGTGAAGGTGATAGGGTGAGCCTACGATTGATTTTTGAGATATTACAGGTTCAACAAGCAAAAATAGCGCAACTACAGAACCAATGACATGCCCCTAGCAGGGTCGAGCCCGGACAATCCCGGGAAAATACTCAAAGAGATAAACAAGTTATAGTGAGATTAGGTGAAGTGGAGCCCTGACAATCCCGGGAAAATAATCTAAGAGATGAACAAGTTGCAATGAGATCAGGTGAAGTCGAGCCCGGAGAAACTTCAGAGGTAATGAAGATGCTCGAAGCATTAACAAAATGGGTGGAGTCAGGCGAGAAAAAGATTGAGGTAAACGATAAGAAGGTGGAAATATACAACTCTAGGGTCGAGCACCTCCGATATTGAAGGGACCGAACTCAAAAAAAATTATCCAAAAGCCTTTCCCCCTGAGTGTAGCACCGAAACTGATTCTGAAGAGATTTCGAATGCCCGACATTCCCAAGTATAATGGGACCATTGATCCAAATGAGCATGTAACCTCCTATACATGCGCGATCAAAGGGAACGACTTGGAAGATGATGAAATCGAGTTGGTGTTGCTGAAAAAGTTTGGGGACTTTGTCCAGGGGGGCAATGATATAGTATCACAACCTGCCTCCAAACTCCATTGACTCGTTTGCTATGCTTGCAGATGTTTTTGTAAAGGCCCATGCCGGAGCCATCAAGGTCAAGACAAGAAAGTCAAATCTTTTCAAGGTCAAACAAAGGGATAACGAGATGCTCAGGGAGTTCGTGTCAAAATTTCAAATGGAATGGATGGATCTGCCACCAGTTGTGGATGATTGGACCGTTCAGGCATTCACTCAGGGGCTCAACCCCCAATATTTCATGGCCTCTCAACAAATAAAATAAAATTTGGTAGAGTACCCAGCGGTAACCTTGGCTGACGTCCACAACAGATACCAATCGAAGATTAGGGTCGTACACGACCAACTCGGGGCCCCTTCTGGATATGTTTACCCCACCAGAATCGATGATAGATCTAAGAGAGCCCTTGATCAGGAGCCAAGGCCGGTCCGAGATCGGTGTCAACCATATAGTGTGGATCGAAGGGCATCATCCAACTAGGAACGAGAAGAGAAGTGATCGAGGGTCGAGCTGCCGGGGCCTGATGAGCAAGAGCGGGAGTAGGGAAGCACCGAGATTATCGGAGTACAATTTCAATGTGGACACTACAAGCATCGTGTCGGCCATAGGGCGCATTAAAGAGACCAAGTGACCCCGACCATTACAGTTCGACCCTACCCGGAGATATCCTAATTTGATGTGTAAGTATCACGGCACTCACGGTCATAGGACCGAAGATTGCCGATAGTTAAGAGAAGAAGTTCCTAGATTATTCAACAATGGGCACCTCCAAAAATTCCTAAGCGAGCGAGCCAAAAACCACTTCAGAAACAGGGATGCCAACAAACAGGTCGAACAAGAAGAACCTCAGCATGTGATTAACACGATAATTGGGGGAGTCGATGTCCCCTAAGGGCCAATGATAAAATGCACTAAAGTGTCTATTACGAGGGAGAAATGCACCCGGGATTATGTCCTGGAGGGAGCTATCTCGTTCAGCGACGAAGATGCTGAGGGCATCGTACAACCTCACAATGATGCACTGGTAATATCTGTACTTATAAATAAATCTCGGGTTAAACGTGTATTGATTGATCTAAGTATCCCAGTTAACATTATCAGATCAAGGGTCGTACAACAATAGGGGTACATGATCAAATTGTACCGGCGGTTTGGGTATTGAATGGGTTCAATATGGCATGTGAGACTACGAAAGGAGAGATATCTTTGCCGGTAAACACTGTCGGGACAACCCAAAAAATAAAGTTATATGTGATTGAAGGGGATATGAGGTACAACGCTTTGTTCGAAAGACCATGGGTCCACAACATGAGGGCGGTACCTTCGACATTATACCATGCGCTGAAATTTCCCACACCGGCGGGAGTTAAAACTATCTACGGAGAGCAGCCGATTGCGAGGAAAATGTTTGTTGTCGATGAAGTGATCCCGGTACCCGCGATCTCAACATCAAGAAGTGCGGAACTGGCCAAAAAAGAAGAAACTAAATAGCAATCAATGTTCCCTGCCTCAGTCAAACCAAAGAAATAAGAAGAACAAAGAGCAAATGATGAAGACGATTACAATGTCCCAAGATCATTCATAGCCCCCTAGGACACCGACGCCAACCAAATCAACAGTCGAGGAGTTGGATCAAGTTATATTAATCGAGCACCTACCAGATCGAAAGATATACCTGGGCACGGGATTAACCCCGAGCTCATGAAAACACTTATTGATTTGCTTAAAGCTAACGCCGATTGCTTTGCTTGGTCATATCTAGACATGACAAGGGTCCTACCGGAGGTTACCACTCACAAGTTGAGTTTGGATCTGAAGTTCCACCTGGTCAAGAAGAAGTGAAGGCCACGGTCCGAGATCAAACATGCGTTCATCAAAGATGAGGTATCCAAACTCCAAAAAATAGGTTACATCCGGGAAGTTAAATATCCGGATTGGTTAGCTAATGTAGTAGTAGTACCTAAAAAAGGGAATAAACTGAGAATGTATGTAGATTATAAGGATCTAAACAAGGCAAGTCCAAAGGATTCTTTCCCTCTGCCTAACACCAATCGAATGATCTCGTGATGGCCGAACACGAGATACTCAATTTTCTCGATTCCTACTCTGGGTACAACAAAATTCGGATGGACCCGGACGATCAAGAGAAGACTTCTTTCATAACAAAGTTCGGTACCTACTGCTATAACATAATGCCGTTCGGTTTAAAGAACACTAGCGCCACATACCAGCGCCTAGTTAATCGGATGTTCGGATGCTAATTAGAGCTAGCTACTACTGGAATGAAATGGAGAAGGATGCAAAAGACTTCGTACGGAAATTTAACGAGTGCCAAAGGCACGCCCCGATGATTCATCAACCGGGAGAGATGCACCACACGGTCTTGTCGCCATGGCCATTTATGAGATGAGGGATGGATATTGTCGGTCACCTGCCATAGGATCCCGATAAGGTCCAATACATACTATTTATGACCAATTATTTTTTCAAATAGGTCGGGGCTTAGGCACTCAAGAATGTCCAAGATAAAAAAGTCATCGACTTCATCTGGGATCACATAATATATTGATTTGGGGTACCGGCCGAGATCGTTTGCCAAAACGGAAAACAATTCGTCAGCAGCAAGGTAAGTAAGTTTTTCGAAGACCACAAGATCAAGAAGATATTATCAACGCCTTACCACCCTAGTGGGAACGAAAAAGCGGAATTGACGAAAAAACCATACTCCAAAACCTGAAAAAGAGATTGACCGATTCAAAGGGAAAGTGGAAGGAAATCTTACCCGAAGTCTTGTGGGCTTACTGTACGACTTCGAAGTTGAGTACCGGGGCGACCCCGTTCTCTCTAGCCTACGAAGCGGAAGCCTTAATACTAGTAGAGGTAGGGGAACCGAGCCTCAGGTTCCAATATGCTACCGAAATGTCAAACGGCGGGGCCATGACCACGAGACTGGAATTATTGAACGAAAAGCGGGAAGTCGTCCTAGTCCGGTTGGCCGCCAGAAGTAGCGAGTAGGGGGGTACTATAACCGAAGAGCCAACCTTTGATATTTTTAAGTCGGAGACTTAGTATTGAGAAAGGTAACACTACACATGAAGAACCCAAACGACGGGAAATTGGGCCCGAATTGGGAAGGACCATATAGAGTTGCCGGAATAACCGGCAAAGGCTCGTATAAGCTCGAATTGGGAAACAATGTACAACTACCGAACAACTAGAATGTGGTACACTTAAAGCGGTACTACTGCTAAGGTATAAATTCAATTCCCTTTTTAATTTCGTTACATTACGGACTAACTTATGCAGGTACTTGGCTAAGGGTAAATGTGATTATAAGGTTTGAAATCACGTGTTGTACTCTTTTTTCTTTGAACTGATTTTGTCCCGAAGTGGGTTTTTCGGCAAGGTTTTTAATGAGGCAACAGTAAAACGTGCTACCTTAGTTTTGAAGACCAGCCTTAAGTCAGAATTGTTGATCGTTTGCACCAAACCAACAATATCCGAGCCCTCACAAGTTCGGCCTCAAATACTGGGCTCCATTACCCCTAGGTTAAGATCTTTAGAAAGAGAAAATTTTATATGTCAAAAACCAAGACTTGATGATTAGGATTCATTGTAAGGGTCAAACGGTCAAAGGAACCGTGCCCATGTAGCCAACTCTAGCCACGGCCCAAGGCTTATGCGCCTCCGATTATGTACCCTACATATAAAACAATGAAAGAAATCTTTGTTTCCCTCATACTTTATTACTACGCATTTCGCTTCGTCGATGCCTCACAACAGATCCGAGATCCTAAAGCCCATAGCCTACCCCGACTCGGGGACTGTCGTCCGATAAAAGAAAAAAATCTGATGGTTCGGGCTATCGAGCCCTGAAGGAACCAAGCCTATTAGGCAGTTCCCCAATATGAAAGGCTACAGCCACCCTAAAACGACTCGGAGACGTCCGACGTCCGTACTCAAAATGTGAGGCCCTTACGTATAATCAAAACCTATTAAAGGATTACCCTCGATAAAAATATCATCGTATATGGCTGTAACACTTAAGCGTCTTAAAGGTCTTTGATTGTATTGAAATTTCGAAGCCACGAGTAATTTGGAGTTGCCATCGAGATTGGGTCCCATTCGCACCTCCAAAGAACGGATGCTCTAGATTATGTTTGATTCTATGCAAAGGCATTAGGGATGATATGCAAATAAAATGACAAACAAATGCTGAAAAGTAAAAACATGATGTTGCCAAAAGGAAATTTTTATATATATGTCTCAAAAAATATTCACAAAGGCACGATAAAACGGCCTCAAAATAAACAAGAAAGAAAAATGTACAAAAGGGAAACAAAAAAGAATTAAAGCATCTACGCCTGATCTTCACCGGAGCTTGACTCAGCATCGGAGCCTTCAGAATCGTCGGGCTCATAGAGTTCCCTTGCCTCGGCCTCGAGTCTCTTGGCTTCTTCGATCTCGGCCGACAAGTCAAAACCTCGAGCGTGAATCTCCTCGAGGGTCTCCCTCCAGGATAGCCTTTTTAGATACTCAGTCTTCGTCTTTAAGTGGGCCTCGACTATCTATACATCAGCCTTATACTGGGCCAGTATTTCCTCGACTTTGGAGGAATCAATTGACGTTGCCTCAAATTTGGACTTCAACGAGTATATTCCTGGCCAAGGGATCCCGTTCCGAGGCGGCTGAAGCCAGTTGTGCTCGGAGTTCATCATTTAGCCGTGACTACTTGTCGGCCTTGTCTTTTTCCACCCGGATCTGGTCCTTGACCGATGCTAGCTCCTCTTTTGTGGCCTCCTTTTTCGAAGCCAGCAGGTCCACCCTGCAATTTAGCGCCTCGGTCATGGTCTTGACCTCATCCATCTCGGCCCGAAGCCGGTCAATCAAGTCTATCTTCTCTTGGACCTGCGAGGTTGCGTCGTTATTCATCACGAGTAGCTTCTCGTTTTAGCCTAAAAAATCTTTACCTTCTCGACTAGATCGACATGCTCTCGTTTCACAGACGAGGCCTCCTTCTGTGCCTTTTCCAATTCGTCTTGGAGAATTGGGAGGTCCTTGAGGGCCTCGTCTTGTTGTTTATTGAGAGTCATGTGCATGTCCTTCTTCCGGACTTGCTCTTTGAGCTCGAACTTGAGCTGGATAATTTCCATCCAGAACCGAAGGAAGCTTTCATGGTGGAGCACCAAAGCCTAAAAAATAATAAGGTCATTAGAACATGTTAAAACTAAGCAAATTTCGCAAAGGGTACAAGGAGAAGACATCTTACTCGGTTCAATGCATGTTGCGCCTCGTTGAAGAGGCTCGATGTGCCTACTTCGTTCATCTTTGCATGGTCCTCCTCTGTCACCAGGCAACAAAGATAGCTGGCCATACCCACCGAAGCAGACAGCACCCTGGCGTCCGCCGGGATAATAAGAACGACCATTCTTTTATGGTCGGGATCCACACTCGGGGCAGGGAACTGCCTCACTAGCTTCGGGCTCGAGCTCGGCTCTCCCTCTCCCGATGGCAAGTCTTTTTTTGGGATCTCCAGGTGACCAAGCCCAGAATAGTCCTCCAACGCGCTCATGTCCATACTGTCGAAGAACATGTTGAGTGCATCATCTGCGCCCTGTGTCGTCTTGTTTGATTTCTCTTTATCGACTTGAGTATCTTCGAGCATAGACTCTGTGTGGGACGGCATATCCGCGATGTCGATGACACCGGATAGTTCCTTCGGGGCAGGAGCAACGTTTCGGGAGGCCATGGCCTCCGATTCTTCTTCTGGTCCCTTAGCTAGAGGGGGTTTGAACTCTTGTCCACCTTCTCCGATTGCCACCTGCTCTCCCTCGTCAATGGTCGACCCGTGAGCAAGGAACTCTAGATCATCATCCTTGGGATTATCCCTGATCTGGAAGAGGGAATCAGGGTCTGGTACCTTGGATTTGGTGTTCTTTTTAATTCTCATCCGGACCCGGACAACTACCCTCTTCTTCTTTAACTCGGCGTCCGGGAGCCAGAGGATTTCCTCTTTTTCTTATTTTTCTCCTCCTTTGCGGCAGCTTCGGGCTATCCTGAAGTGGAGGGTTCAACAAGCGAGGACGGAGCCTCGTCCTAATCCCATGGCCGAAGGTCGGTGGTCTTCGGCAAACCTATGAAAGGGAAAAAGACTTAGCATAAATAAAAGTTATGTAAATTTAATTATTCAGGCAGAAGAGTCACCGTGAGAACGGGCCTCCCACTTGCCCTTCGAGAGCTTGCGCTATTCACGCTCGAAGTAAGACATTTATTTGCAAATCCCCTCGATCCACTCCTTGAAGCGGGGGACTGCATTGGGCACTTGGGGTGACCACTACACAATGATAAACACAGGCAGATAGAAAAAGAACAAAAGGAAGTACTGAGCACTCGAGATGGAGAATACTTACCGGATGAGTTCCACTTTTTAGGGAATAGTAGAGATTCGGAGGGGGTATGAAGTCTTTAGTTTTCACCCGAACGAACCTCCC